ATTTTTCCATCACCAATCTATAATTAACCATCAACCAACTAGTAAACGAGCAGTGACAATATAATTAGAATTTAAATCCTTTATTTTTCTATTTATCTATTTCTATTTTACAATCTCACGTTAATTTAAACTGTTTAATATTTATTATTAAAATAATTACGTACATTATATCAAATTTTTCCTAACTTAAAGACTTTTTAAAACTTTTTAAATTTGGTGACTTTTGTGGACTTTGTAGAACTTTCATGACTTTTGTGAATTTTTTGAGACTTTTAGAGAATTTTCATTAGTGATTATTTAGACTTACATAATGGACTTTTTAAAACTTGTTGAGACTTTTATATACTTGTAGTTATAATATTACGTTTGAATAAAATACTAATAAACGTAGCATAATAATTAATATAAAAATAATAAATAAAAAAAATATGTTGTATATATTAATCCTGTAAAAATTTACGAATCAACTCATTGTTATGCAAAATGAGTTATTCACGAATAAATTGTTAAGGATTTAGATTTATTAAACAAGTAAATCGATCGAGCTTTAATGAGTCGATCTCGAGCAGGGTCTTATGTTTGTTTGTTAAAAGTGCACAAGCTCAAATATGTGTTAGACATATCTGCAACAACGACACTTATAATCAACCCAAACTAAGATATATTTATCTAATTATTGATTGATTTTATTTTTTATATTTTTTGCATAATGTTGCTATGTTAGAAAATATTATTAGGATATATTTTTACAAGATACAAACACTGCCGAAAACAGTAATTATATCTTATAAAGTTATCAATAATATTTTTAAATATTTAAAATATCAACAGATAAACTATTTGAAAATAAAATATTTTTTTTTTATTTTTTGAAATAAACATTAACCAATTAAAAATAGAGAACATAAATTATTTGCAAGTGTAAACTATGGAAGCATTTACCTTTAGAAAGTCAAATTCACTAGATAACAAAATGAGAGAATAAAGGTATACACACATAAAATAAACATAATAAAGAATATATAAAATAAAAGATCAAAATTAATATACGTAATGAAAATAAATATTATATAAGGTATCAAAATAAATAAATAAAATAATAGAATATGAAAATGATATGAGATACAAAGTCGTGTTAAAAAAAAAGCGTGAAGAGAGTCACATAAGTCCAGCAAAATCTCACCAATATTGGTGAGATTTCTGTTGAGACTTTTTCTTTATAATTTTGTTACAAAACTCTCTAAAAGTTTCACAATTTATAGAGTATCGTAGAGTCTTTATGTTTTGAATATCGGGTGACTTATAGAGACTCTTAGAAAGTTTTAATCGAATACCTTAAAACTTTTAGAAACTTATTAAAAGTTTTTAAAAGTCTCAAATAAATACAAGGTAAACTTTTCACAATTTTTTCAAAATTTCTAATTGAATACAATAGAGTTCTAAAAGTCTTAAAAAAATTGAATACAAACTGACACCACATTGGGCTATAGAGTTTCGTTTTTAGGAATTCAAATTCAAATTGTCTTCAAAAATCTAATTGCGAATTGAAATTTTTTATATAAATAGTATATTTATATATTTCGTATTTTATTAATCGAATCATTAGAATCTAATTACATTATGCAAATAATAAATTTACATCGAACATATTAGCTAAAAAAAACGTAATTGAATTACAGTAACTTGTTACTGAAAGATGCCTTTGATTTTAAACAGTCAAAATATTGGCAATACAATACAAGTGAATAGCTGCCAATATTCAGTAAACATCAAATCTGATCATGTTGATTTGAGAAGACAAAATTA